GTAGCCTTTAAGATGCTCAGGTATCTGAGCCAAAGAGAAGTGAAATTGTTCCAAGGTCATCAGTAAGTCACTGTCAAAGCCAGGATTAGAATGTAGTTTTCCAGACCCAGAGGAGAGGGTTTTTTTCCCTCCCCATTACACCACACACTGCTTAATTGATTGCATTATGGTATTTCAATGCTCCATAAACTCCGAGCTGTGGCTTATATAAAAGTTAACGGGTTTGGGGGGGTGACAATAGTTAATCAGTATTCATTTAACAGGTCCAAAAATGCAAGTTAGAAAATAAAACTGTGAGTGAAAGCAGGCAAATGCACACGCAAGTGCTGGCTTCTGTAACTTTGTGCTTTATCTTTCTTTTCTGCGAAGCACTGTTAAATTAAAAATAGAAATGAAAAGAGAAAACTTTCTTTCCTTGGCCTAGAAAAACATCCCATTCTGTAGACCAGCGATTTTCAGCCTTTTTCATCTCATGGCACATAAACTAATTACTAAAATTCTGTGACACACCAAAATAGGTATTATATTTTTTGCCAACACGACCAAAAAAAAGTTGTAATTTTGATTCTTTCACACCGGATGGTTATGGTTGTGTTGACTATCGTCATTTTTTTTTTTTTATTTGACAATCTAAGGGGAAAGAGGTCAGTGCCCGACTAAATGGTCAGGTATTGCATGTTTTAAAAATTCTTACAGCTCATCAGTTAAAAATTGCTGCTGTAGATCAACACTATTATAAATGTGGGTGGGCTGAGAGAATAGATACCGTATCTTCTCACCAATTAGCAGTTCAAATTTACCCCATAAATGTATATAAAACTAAGAAACCAAACTTTCCTATGTTTTAAGAATATCGTTAATAACTATTCGTAGCCTTTCTAGGCCACTTTAGACATTTAGAGAAGAGTTCATTTAAGGAGAGAGAGAATGGTAGGTTAACTGTCATGCTTCACTAGAAAACTGTATTCTTTGACATTTCTTACAAATCAATACCAAAAACCATCAACAAACTGCTCAGTTTAAGAGATCAAACAGACTTCACAAAGTAGAATGCACATACAGGCGAGCAGTAAAGGATCAGTAGGTAAAGAGAATGTGCCCCAGGCCCCACAGGTGAAGCTACCTCTACGATGCATTCAGCTACTTTGTGCCGTCCACTAAGAATACAGGTGATTAGGGCAGTCTTGTTTTCAGAGTGTTCAAGAAACAAGGAGGTGGGTAGAAGACAAAGACTACGTTCAAGAAACAACAAA